TCGACAATAGGATCTAGAGTTTCATTGTATCGATCGCAAAGGTCTGCCTACCCGGCAATGGTGAATCCTTGACCGCTCACCTAATAGTACCAGCAAATCGATAGGTGTCTCTAAAGGGCCGCCCTGAAATGAGAAGGTGGAGCTAAGTTGCGCACTAAGTAAATCTCGAATGAGATACGTTGGGAGGAGGAAGCCGGAGAAGGGGAAGCCCCCAAGGTAGAAGCGAAGCCGGTGGTCGATGTGGTATGACGCAGAGAAATTTTTTGTGTCGATGACTACGTTACTCATGGTAAAGGAAAGAACAAGCTGGGGTGATGGGAGAAGAGATGTTGATCCAAGTAGAGAAAGGCTAAACCATATACTATCATTTCCACTGTGGATATATATCGTGAGTGGCAGATCTACCTAGTTCACATGGTACTTATCTTCCAGAGCTCGAAGCCGAGTTGCTGGTGTTTCTAGAGTATCGTTTCACCTAGTGGTGCTATCTTCTTGTAATCGCAGACTTCTCCCGGTAACAGGGGCTTCGTGCTCACAAACACAGATGGAACGGATTACCTTGATGCACGAACAAGAGATAACCAATGTTTATTCTAATTCCCACCCTTCTGGCCCGGTGCATAAGTAAAATTCCCTCAATTTGGCGGTTCATTTGTGTGCTTTTGCTGGGCCGATGGCAAACAATCGTAGGTAGATGATTGGCTTACCTATTTGACGACCAAGAACATGGAAGCACGAGCTATAAACTATCAATTCGGAATGAAACGGTGATTAAATAATACTGCGACCACATCAAAGTCCCCGTAGTACTGATGATGATACTGCTACGACTTCCCCTGCTAGACTGTGGGCGGACTTCAGTCTTTTAACTCTCTCAACACGGACAATGGCAACTTCAAGTTAGCAACATTATATCTTGCTTAGACACAACCCAAGGCAATACATCTGTTCATTGCTTCGTCCATGATGATTTCCGCAGTCCCCTCTGGCGCCAGCTATTGGTTTTGTCTGGCTCCTTCCCGTGTAGTCGTATCTTCCCAAGTAGTCGTGCCTTCCCAAACCGCCGTGCCTTCCCAAACCGCCGTGCCTTCCCAAACCGCCGTGCCTTCCCCCATCAATGGACATTCTTGCCAACGAGTTCCTTCCTTCCCAGTCTGCACCTTCCGAACAATGGGATTCTCAATTGGATTCATTAGCCATGTCTTCCGTTCAAGTTTTGTCTTTCCCAGCCATCATCACCACCATCATCATCATCACCAGAAAGATGCCCCCCCGTTTTCCCACGATTGACGACCTCCTTGCCCTCCTGAGAGTGTTCCTGGCCCACAAGGGGTCAGGCCTCTCAGGAGGGACGGCGACCGAAGCAGAGATCGCCTTCGCAGAGAAGGACTCCCCCGTCAAGGGGGAGGATGTACCTCCTGGCCCCTGGCCAACCTCGCCCTCCGCCGCCGCCGCCCCTCCCCCCCCTCCTCCTCGCGCATCGAAGCGACGCCGCCTCCTTAGGAGGCTCATCTCCTCCTCCCCGTCCTAGACGGTTTTTTGGAGCGCCCCCGGTCTTTTTTGGAGGTTTTTTTGGAGGTTTTTTTTTTGGAGCGAAGATTTTGTGTCTTGGCTTCGCCTCTACTTTGAATGCTCCTCTGGGAGCTGTGTCGTCAATCAGACAAGACCCTGGCTGTTATATGAGCGAGCAACCGGTATGTACTTTGTTTGATTAAGACCTAATGATGAAGCTGACTCCTGGGAAGACCTGCCGAACAAAACTTATGACGACTTCGTCACAGCCAGAGGCCCATGGCCTCTTCTCCTTCGTGAATAATCACCCCAACTTTGATGGCTACCTCTTCCATCACACCTGAACAACTGGCTTTGCCTCTGCTCTGATACTCCCGTTTTCGCTCCTGCCCCCAACAATGGAATGACGTGTGATATATCATAAGGTTTGTCCCTCAAACAGCTTGTACATCAAGTATAAAACTGACCTTCGGTCAGATTTGCTGAAATCAGCATCCACCGAGTCCAGAGCATTATTAGCTTGTGAAAGTGCGCGGTTCAAAAGCCCGTCATAACTCCGCATGGTAGATGGCTTCGCCTATACTTTAACGGCTTCCGGCTTCGCCTCTACTTTGATGGCTGCCTTTCTTCTGCCAGCACGCCTTGAGCCCGGCTTCGCCTCTACTTTGATGGCTGCCTTCCTTCTCCCATCGCCCCTTGAGCCGCCGGCTTCGCCTCTACTTTGATGGCTGCCTTTCTTCTGCCAGCACGCCTTGAGCCCGGCTTCGCCTCTACTTTGAGGCTCCCGGTCCCGCCACTACGATGATACCGGCGTAGCAGCCAAGGTTCGTCCTTCAATTCGCTTGTACATCAAGTATGAACTGACTTCCAATCAGGTCTCGCATCTGTTTTGTTGGGCTTCTCTTCTCCATCATCCTACCTTCTTCTCCCTCTCCCTCGATCAATGCTTATTGACACGGCTATCTGCTCTCGCTATGCCACATACCGTACAATAGCTTCACGCTTTCGTTGATGACTGCCTCTCTTCTATCACGCCCCAAACACAACCTCCACCTTTACTTTGATACTTCTTCCTTACAAACTGGAGAGATGGCGGTAAACCTCGACACTGGGCTCGGTAGCGACGGGAATATGACAGGGAGTCTAAGGCAAGCCAATAAAAGGCCGATCATCGGGTCTCGTGGAGCAGTCCTTCAGCATTACCACTTCCACTGGCCAACATCTTCACCCCACTTCATATTACTCTCGCGGCCCGGTCAGCCTAAGCTTCAGAAACCGACAAACGGCCCTAGCCTACGAGGCATCGTTGCCGACCGGGGCGTGTGCCATAAGACCAGCTTAAGAGAGGTAAACACCACACCGGCTCTCACTCGTGCACCAATGCAGCAGCCTCCCTGTGCCTTTGCTCCTTTCCCCCATCTGGCATATATCAGCGGCTCCACTTGTTGCGCGACTGACTCCAGCTTCCCCCATCAGGGCATACACTGATCAACTTGCTGTGTCGAGTTACGGGTCAAACATCTCCTAAGAGCTGGGTGGGCAACTTTGCGTTGATGAGAATCGATAGTAGTGCTTTTGTGCTTGATTGACGACATCGTCGGCATATAATAAGCATGTATGTTCTCTAATTGCTCGGAGTGGTTGTGTCATTTATTAGACCATAGCTGGTATCAATAAACCTAATAGACACTACTCTGCGCAGAAAATGTATGCATGTGATAAAACTGACTCATCATCACGTGATGCCTCTGGCTCATCACGAACAGGCAAAGTTGCTTTTGATTGATATTGCTCAGTGGGAACATCACATGGAAGGGTGGCGGCTGTCCGTGCTCTGCGCATCAGCGTCCTCCATCCAGTTTTCAGCATTTGTATGGGTTCCAATTCTTGGTTTCGCGTTTCAAGGAGGAATCACTGGCTCGAATCTACTGCGGCTTTAGGTTGCCGCTCTGGTGTTCTTGTCTTGTACGTTGTGACTTGCGTCAAGGTCCCGATCAGACTCAACATCTGGATGGTAGATAGGAGTGACCGGCTTGAAGTTGAATGCTATGGGCCATGCGACACCTGGCTTCCCACTTTCCTCGCTGAATGGTTTGCTCAGAAAGGCCTAGATAGCATCGATGAAGATCTCAAGCCATTTGAATGGTCCATTTCCTCTCGCGATCGATGTGCAGTAACGACAATGACTTCTGTGCAGTGGCGTGCATACCTCAACATTAGATCGGCATGAAAAGTCAAAGGCGACTATTGGAGGACGGATGACTTCCTTCACGAATATGATCTTGGCCTCGGTAGGGATATAGCTTTGGAGAAAACGATGATATCGCACTTGCATCTCCAGGGGATCTCATCTCTACCCTTCAAGAGTTTCTTGTGATGCATTTTCCAGACATTTCCATGGGCTCGAGATATATTGGCATGTAGTCGTTGACATGCTCAAGGAAGATAAGGAGATGATTCGCCAGTCGATCACTCGATGGCGCCTGAACAAGACAGCTGAGAGCAGACTATCTATTAGCAGTCTAAGTATAGGCAAGAAGCGCATTCACTAAACTGGGTAATGTTTCTGAGTTCGACAATATCACCAGGGCCAACCTCGCCCATGGTAAGTTGCCGCCACTCCGTCTCTGGTCTTCAAGACTGGCCGATACATCTAATTCGCCATGAAATCCGCTCACCTGATCCAGCACCATCCAGCTCTGCCTGAGACGGAGAGAGAATACGGGGTAAAAATAAAGCGTCGGGCGTTTAACACTGCAGTCGTTGCGCAGAGTAGAGGATTGCGCGTGACATCGACGTGGGAGAGCAACGCCTGACTGAGACGCAAGGACCGCAAAGAGTTGGTTGCGGGCTTATACTGCATGCTTTTGGGATTTCTTGATCGCTTGCAGACTGTCTTTCATGCTCCTTGCCTCGTGATAGTGCAGGCCTCATTATCGCCATCTTCATGAACAGAAAGATACTTCTTTTCAAAACCAGAGTATCCATTTCACCTCTATCGTATGGCGATAAATTCATCGGCCCAGGAAATATTTCTTTCTGTAGTTGGAGGGTTCCTTCTTTGAATTGAAATACCTGCATAAACTAGGATCGTATCCACGTGGAAGCGGGCTAACGCATGATGGCGCTAAGCCTATCCTAGGGCTTTGTGTAGACACTGGGCTTCTGATTGGTTTAGAGCGGCCATTAGTGAATCGCTAATCTCCGCTCCAACGGTCAACCTTATCCCCGGAACTGCGGGGCCGGAAAGCCCGAAATCGACTTTGCGCACCACACGACACGACACAAAGCAACGCGACACAAAACAAGAATAAATGGAAAACAAAAGTAATAGCCATTAACTAGAGGCCAGATCGAGCTACTAGTTACTCTTGTATATAGCGAGAGCAACTGAAATATGTTCAATGCCGACAAAAAATTAGATGAGCGATTTGAAGCAACCCCCTAGAACTTTGTTAGTTTGATGATCTTTTAAGCTAGAAGAGACGAACGCACCGGCGGGACTCGAACCCGCAATCCTCTGATTGCTACGCCACAATCTTCCGATTGCGATGCAGTAGAAGTCAAATGCCTTAACCATTAGGCCACGGGGGCAATGCCTGATTGAATCAGGATCTGCCGATCGATGGCGTGTTGTGTCTTCTTTGCATATACGAGTGTGTACTTAGCTCTTGGTAATCAATTGGCTACACAAGAGCGAGATGAACGACTTAAGGCGGCCGCAAGGAGGAGGATCCATCATACGGAGCAACACAGTTCCCAACACACCCACCAGAAACCTGCAGCAGCTATGTAGCCGAGAGTAAAGGTGAAACAAGCTGTTTTGGTCAATTTCAGTCATTCCAGCCATATAATTCTCCCCAGCCCTAGAGCACAGAAGTTTCAGACCCTGCTTGTTGTAGAACCAACAAGCGGATGAGCAACGACCTGCAGCAGTTCGGCATGGGTATTAATCTCTTATTCTTGCAATAACTGTAATATCTATCTCAGATTCACCTCACAGTGCTGCACAGTTGTAAACATCCCTTTCACCATGCTTCTCAGGACCCTACTTCTCGCTCTGACAACCAGCTCCACGAACGCCTATAACTTATAGGATACATCGTCCGAGTGTCCCGAATTAATCATCGAGAACTGTCGCAAGGCTCTTTCCAGGATATTGCTAACTACTTGTCGCAGGAGTAGATAAAGTGACTAGTCACACTGCACCAAAGGGCACAAAGGAAACCTCGTACTGCTGCGAACCGTACCGCTCTTCCTTTGAAGCATATTTAGACAACATTCTAGATACTTGTGGCAAAGAAAACCATAGATTCCAAGCTCTGTCGAGGAATTACAGTCAACTGTAGATTACTCAATAACTCTCTTTGCGGCGCGAGAATACCCTATGTCGAAGATGGATTCGTAAATCTCTGCAATCATTACGCCAAGTATCTGACTTCCTTCTCTGGTTAGATTCTGTCTCGGGGCGCTTTTTAACGAGGGACGGGAGCTGTATTCACAATGTACACTCATGTTGGAAATTATGAAAGCGACGTGGGTGTGATTCTGATGAGCTTGATCAGGGAAGAATTTCTGACAGCGCTCTTGTGCAGAGCAGCAAGTTGTTTGTTAGACTGATTCACGCAAAAACTCCATAGAGGGCTTTCTGTTAGACTAAGGAAGTCATACCCTAAAACTGTTCCAGATTCACGGACGGCATAGTGGTCTGGCTCTGGCTGGTTTGGGGGGCTGATACGACTGGTGCGGCTGACGGTTGGATGCTGGGGTAGAACGTTTTACCTTTTGAAGACGTCTCAGGCAACAGCCCAAATCCCATGAAGCAACGGCAAGATTTATACGAATGCAGGAGCCCAAGGCTCACAGATTGAGGTCTTGGGGTCTCTATATGAGTGATGCTCAGGTGGACGTGCAGTGGCAGGCGGGTTAGGAGGTTGAATACAGGTATCAACACTGTAGTGAGCGATGTCAGTTATCAACTGTGCGTTGATTATATCGATGCGAAAGTGCTGTGAGTTAAATTACTCTGTTCGTGGAGTGGCCGTATTTGGGTGTTCCAAACCAACCAAGCCGACGGCTTCACGCATCGTCACGACGGTCCGTCTCACATTCGAGGTATATACTTAAGTCCTAAACTCATCAAATTCTATCACACATCTTCCCTAAACTCCTCAAACTTATCACTACTACTACTACTACTACCACCCTCAAGATGCACCCCCGCTTTCCGAACATTAACGACTTACTCGAGGGAACCACCACCATTGCCACCATCACTACCACTATCAAGATGCTCCACCGCCTGCCCAACATTAACGAACTACCTACTCGAGGGACAGCGACCGAAGATGAGCTGGCCTTTGTAGAGAAGGACTTACCCGTCAAGGGGGAGGATGTAACTCCTGGCCCCTGGTTAACCTCTGCCGTGCCCTCCGCTGCTAATCCCTCTTCCTCCTCCTTGCCGTTAGGCATTAAAGTAATGCCGTCTCCTTAGGGAGCTAATCTTGTTCTCCTTATCCTAGATGGTTTTTTTTTTTTTTTTAGAGAGCTAATAGTCTTTTCTAGATATTTTTTAAAGGGGGGAGAGGCTAAGGGTTTATAAATTAGCTTTGCCTTTATTTTAAATGCTCCTATAAGAGCTATCTTAATAAATAAATAAGAGCCTGGCTATTATATAAGCGAGTAACTAATATATGCTTTATTGCGTACCTATTAAGAATGGTCAAGCTGACTCTTGGAAAGACCTGCCAAACAACAGTTATCATCATCGAATTCAGGAGATGGCGACCTCGTCACAATCGGCCCAACCTTCCCCCTTTCGTGGATAAAGATAAAATAGACTGGAAAGAAGGGGGTATGGGAAGCAATTTTTACTTGCACATTCGAAGGTTGATCGTTTGACGTTTGAGAATCACCAAACACCCGGTCTAAGACTGCATCACTGCGTGATCATAAAGCAATGATTCATTGTTGAAGCCCCCTATTCAGTCTTGTTCTTCCCTAAGTCGGTAATGCTCATGCCACGTAGCCAATATGCCTTTTGAGAAAGTTTTCTTATCCTGGGGCGTTTGTGAGCTTCTTTTTGTGTCCAAGTCGACTTCCCATCCTCGACATTATTACAACGCTTTGGAATCTACCCAGTTGTACTGTTCGCCCAGCCACGATGATTCTCCGTCAGAATCAAGCTCAATGCGCGCCTACCTGAGCATCACCCATATGGAGGCCCCAAGACCTCAGGTTGTAAGCCCGGTGCTCCTGCCCTCGCAGAGTTCTTGCTGTTTGCTTCATGAGCTCCAAATTGTTGCCTGAGATGTCTTGAGCGGCCGAAATGCTCCGTTTCCTTCCGTTTCTTTCATCCAGTCCTCACTAGGCGTTCCTTCCTTTTCGAAAGGGAATGAGACTCAAGCAAATTTTCCTTGGCCTTCCCCCATTTCTTCTTTTCTTTTCCTTCAACTCGACCAGCATTCTTCAAAAGCTACGTATCCAACAATGACCTTTCGCAATTACATTGCTACAACCGTAGCTACGCTGCTGGCGCAACTTTTGCTCGGACTGTTCGCCACAGGACTATGCGCAATCTGGAAAGCCCAGGGTCTTATACGTAAGTATTTCCATCCTGCTTCAGCGTATCTCTTCTCTCGTCACTCCCATCTCTCCATCTTTTCGGCATCACTAACTTGAGTGCCTTACAGTCCGGACCGACTGGGACTACTGGTTCGCCGTGGTAGTGCGCTCGATCCTGTCAGTCTGTGGAGTCTTCCTTGCCGTTGAGATAAAGATGTATTCACGAAAACTAGCGTCCGACCGTCACGGGTGAGCGTGATGGGAGGTATCTCCCCAAAAGACTGTAATGGTCTGGGGGGCGGGCTTCGGCCTGCAGCTGCCAATGAATGTCCGCCTGATTGCAACGAGTTCGGGTCTGTTGGGTGTACTCTTGGCGATGAGTACCTACTCCACAGTTCTTATACTGGGGGGTAGTAAAAGGCACTGGGACTGTAACGGTCCCTTTTGTCAAGAGTGGCTCCTTCGTTTTCCGATATCTGAGGGCTTTGTTCGCGCCTGGGGGCTTTGTTCGCGCCTGGGAACTTTGTTCGTGCCTGGGGGCTTTGTTCGTGCCTGGGGGCTTTGTTCGCGCCTGGGGTTCGTTTCAGATCAATGGTCTGTCAACATGTTTCTTTTTCTCACTGTACTCATGGTCAGGATGCTATGATATGGAGAGGAAATATCTGGAAGGGGACAAGCGCTGCGATAGCTTTCGGTGATCGCAGGTTAGAAGACTAGGCAGCGGTATCAGCACTGTGATGAGCAATGTCAGTTGCCAACTGTGCGCTTATTATATCGATTTGAAAGTGTTGTGAGTTGAATTACTCTATTCAGATCTCAAGTTTTCAAGGTGAGTCCATAGAACAAGTCATGATCTCGAGACCCTAATCCTTCAGTTTCGAGCTTGATTGATCTTTTTTTGGCCACAGTACCCGCGGTGTAGCAGAAAGTTCTCACCCCATCACCAACACATCTATTCCAATAGACGAATTCCACCATCCCCCCTGATTTCCCAGGATCCCCATTGGTAATCAGGATTGCGCAAAGGGTCGTAACAGGCTACGACCCAGAAAGGTACAATGCAAGTAATATGGATCAACAATAGACTCATCACAGACCTCCACTCGAAATCTCCATATACCAGAGAAAGAATTAGAAGAATTATTTCCATGACGCCAGCGAAAACATTGAGACCAAACACGATAATGATTCTCTCAGTCTCCCATGCTTGGAGGGGAGGTGGGCCACGGGAGATGAAGCCGAATCGATCAGGGATACGCAAGACTTTTGACTGGACGTAATAACATCGGGTGCCGATAGCAAACTGCAAAGGGCTAATAATGTTGTGGGAAGCTTCAGGATCGATCATGTTGGCTTGCTTGACCAGCTGAAGGAGCTCCGTTGTGTGTGGTGTTTCCTAGAAAAGGGGTTATTTCAGATTGTCGCGCAGGAGAGAAGAAATGCGAGCTTACAAGACGGAAAACACGACGGTGCATTTGAGAGTTGAAAGACGGTGGTGATGGGAATCTTAGGGCGGGGGCTCCAGTTGAGTTTTATATTCATGTGACATTAAGGTTTAAGTTGTGCGTAGAAAATGCAGCAAGAGATACAGATTGCAGATAATATAACTAAGTATGTAGCCTTTTAACTACCTTAAGGTGCCCTTTGGATGGGAGAGTGACAGATCAACAATGGATAATCACACATACATAACGAGAAAATGTCGGATTCAGATCCAGGAGCTTAGGGTAAAAATGCGACGAGAGGCCTTTGACAAGGTGAACAATAATTTGCTCGAGCAGAATAGCTTTAAATCTTCAACATAGTCCTGGTTTCAACTGCACCACGTTGCATTGTCTTTTTACTACGGATATGGACTTGACCTGCACTTACACTGGAAATACCCTTGCGCTATTTGTGGAGTTCCCGTCTCTAGTCCATCGGCACTCAGGGCTCAGGCTAGCTCCTGCTAAACTCTATCTTATCAACTCCTTGCAGATCAAACGCGGTCGCGTCTTGACTTGTTCAACTCAACATTGGCGATAGCTTCG